CCTGTGACTTATTTGCAGTAGGATAAATGGTAGGAGCATAATATACGCTCCCAATGTTTTGTTGGTCTTTTTTTGTGAATAATTACTTTTTTTTGCGTTTTTATTTATTTATTTATCTTTGCATCTTGAGATCTTGTGACATCATCAACTACTTGCGTTCTATTCGAGTTTTATTATGTTAATGTCGAGTTTTAAAATTGTGTAGTCGTTCAACCCCAATTGAGACACACCTTCACTATAATTTCGAGCAAACAAACAATTGTTTTTAAGTGTTAATCTTGTTAAATTCTTGTTAAAGTCCTCCCGTGCACGCTCCCGCGTCCACCATTTGGCAGCCAATCAATTTTTGGCACAACACCGGCCCACATTTCCAGGTCGTCAGCGGTGATGCATGATAGATGCGACATATACAGCGAAGTGACGTATTTATGGATTTTTCCACTTTATTAGACATATTTGGACTGATGCGACATAGGGTGGTGCGACGTGTACATTGGAAAATACGGTACACCTAATTTACTGGTGCAAAAGAGCAACACTTTAAAAGGAATATGTTGATAAAACTCTTTAAAGCTCAGTTTAGATAAATTGTTTAATTCCGACGGAACTGGTAAACTAAAGCCAAGGTTGTCCTGGCATCTGACTTGTGAACTGTGATAAGCGGAGCCATTTACGATTCTCCTCTTAAGCAGCAGCTGGCGCTACCGGAAAAACCAATGTGATGTAACAGGAAGTACAGTGTTTGTGCAAAACAACAACAACAATGTTTTTAATTTATTCAAGAGCCTTTGAAGTTCATGAAAAATCTGCAGTGGTTGTAGCTTTTTGTTTTTGTCCAGGCTGCACAGGAAGTGCTACAGCTCACTGCTGCTGCTTCTATTCGTGTTTGCAATTAACCTCAGATTTTTGTGTAAACATGAAATCTGTGGCAGTGTTGAGGTTTATAAACTAGTGTTCATGTGAACTATCTGAAGCTATTTGAAGTTTTAAGATGGCAACATTTACCATTAGCCTCAGCCGTGTAAGAATTAAACTATTTCTTCAAACCGAGATCATTCACAAATATGTTTCCAACAGGTAAGATGGTCAAAAGTGGATTAAACAGCACGTATCAGAGGAGAAATGTGATGTATAGCATGTCCACAGCTGAGTGGGCCTTCAGTGGACCCAGGGGTGTTCTAGTCTTACCAAAGTCTTCTCACACGTCTCCATCTCCTTCTCGGTTCTGCATCTGGGCCTGCATCTTGGCGATCATCTCCTGCATTCGTCTCAGCTGTGCAACACAGAATATGAGGATGTATGACGGAATGAACCCTTTGAACAACGAGGCTAACATCATCTCAGTCTTTGCCCGTCGTTCAGTTTTTGTAAATGCATCAATCAAAATATGCAACTTATAAATCCAAGAACTTTTCAGAGGCCAGTTAGGTCAGGAAACTAAACCACTCCACAAGTAGAGCTGTTCAGTTATGGAAAATAATAATCCTAATACATTCCTGTATTCCTACTTAAACAAATAAAGTATCTATTTACAGGTCCTTCTCAAAAAATTAGCATATTGTGATAAAGGTCATTATTTTCCATAATGTAATGATAAAAATGAAACTTTCATATATTTCAGATTCATTGCACACCAACTGAAATATTTCAGGTCTTTAATTGTTTTAATACTGATGATTATGGCATACAGCTCATGAAAACCCAAAATGCCTGTCCCAAAAAATTAGCATATTTCATCCCACCAATGAAAGACAAGTGTTTTTAATACAAAAAACGCCAACCTTCAAATAATCATGTTCAGTTATGCACTCAATACTTGGTCGGGAATCCTTTTGCATGAATGACTGCTTCAATGCGGCGTGGCATGGAGGCAATCAGCCTGTGGCACTGCTGAGGTGTTATGGAGGCCCAGGATGCTTCGATAGCGGCCTTAAGCTCATCCAGAGTGTTGGGTCTTGCGTCTCTCAACTTTCTCTTCACAATATCCCACAGGTTCTCTATGGGGTTCAGGTCAGGAGAGTTGGCAGGCCAATTGAGCACAGTAATACCATGGTCAGTAAACCATTTACCAGTGGTTTTGGCACTGTGAGCAGGTGCCAGGTCGTGCTGAAAAAT